ACCCGAAAGGGAGAGGTCATCCACGTAAGAAAAAAGCCAAAAGTCCTATGAACAATGAGATGAGGGACATAATTTGGTCGTTACCTCCTCACATGACTGATCACATACCTGGCGTTCTCCAGATATGCGTAGGAATGCCAGTGATGTTGCGCAATAACGACGCCACAGAACTATGTATAACAAAAGGTCAGGAAGGACTTATTTCTGGGTGGAATGCTTCTATTGGGAAACACAGTAAACCAATGCTAGATACCCTGTTTGTAAAACTTGTAGATCCTCCTAGTGAAGTTGCAATTCCTGGCCTTCCCTTAAATGTGGTACCCATTGTTCGCTCCACAAACAGTGTGGAGTGCATACTTCCTGACGATCGCGTATTGAAGGTTTCTCGCAGCCAGGTGAATATCTTGCCCAATTTCTCCATGACGGACTATGCGTCGCAAGGAAAGACTAGAATAACCAACGTGGTTGATCTCAGTCACTGTAAAAATCACCAATCTTACTACACTTGCCTTTCTAGAAGTTCCAGTGCCGAAGGAACGGCAATCCTCCAAGGTTTTGATACAACGAAAATCATATCTGGCATTAAGGGATACCTGAGACAGGAATTCCGGGAACTGGATATTCTGGACCATATCACGAGGTTAAAATATGAAGGAGTTCTACCTGCTCACATCATACAGCCCCTTCGAAACCCAACCATATGTACCTTCCAGCTGTGGGCGGAGAAAAATCGTGCAGTTTACGACAAAGACTGGCACTCCTCCATTGCCTGGCGTCCTACTGAAAGACGAATTAAGATTGCACAGCCTGATGGGACTTGGAATCTTGACCTCGTTAAACAGCTTTCGCTTGAGCAAATGGGCCTGTCACCGCCGAAAGGCTCCTCGCAAACGATAACACCTTTCATGTTGAACACTAGGCCCAGGAACAATAAAAGGCACCATGAAGTGCTCAGAACGGACGGTGAACTCGATGACGATGCTCATAAGCGCCGGAAAGTCCATCACGATGGTAGTTTATCGCCCTCGAGCCGCTTGGCTGGCACTCGCTGGGACTCTGTGAATTACAGTTGCGCTTACGATGCATTTTTCTCAATCATCTTCAACATCTGGGATGAGGATAGAAGCCAGTGGACAGGGTCGCTGTGCGAAATAAGCACTTATATGGAGACTCTCGTAAATAGCTGGGCGCTAGCTGATACCTTGAATGAGGGGTGGATGGAGGCTTGTCGAGATGGTCTCAGACAAGGGCTTAGAGATGCGTATGGCCATGATCAATTTCCGAGCGGGGCGAATTACACGAATCTGGATCGTCTAATGGGTGCTATGCTGCAAGCGGAAGACGGTGATGTTTATTGCTCTTCAAAAGCAGTTTGTGGTATGTGCAACAGAACAACAAGATCAACACTGAAACCGGTCTTGTCTCGCTCCTACATAACCCGTCCGCAAGCAATCAAAGCGTCTGAAGACATAGGCCAGAGATGGGTTGACCTACAGCGGATGTTTGATAGACTGATTGCCATGCCGGATAAAAGTAAATGTAAACACTGCAGCCACAAGGGTGCAAAGCAGAAGGTTACTGAGATACATGAGCTTCCAGACCTGATAGCTTTTGCCGTCGTAGATCCAAAGACTTTCCCTTCACTTTCTCTCGATGTAAAAGTCAAGGATACCCCAAGAACCTACCACTTGAAAGGAATTATCTATGGTGATGGCCATCACTTCGTTTCTCGGTTTATATCTGCAGATGCAACTATATGGTTTCATGACGGAATTGAAACGGGACGGAAGCTGGTTCAGCAGGGTGTCGTAAGTGATAATGGCTGCCCTGATTTGGCAAGATGCAAGGGGAAGCGCGCAGTAGCTTTTTTGTACGGTTTAAGCGCTCTGATGCAGGTTTCATGAGGATGGAATCCTAAACAGTGGTCATAAACTAACTGGGAGGAGGGTGGGTTGAAAGTGGGCCCCTGTCTTGTTGCTTGGGGAGCACCAGCCGAGTACCGCTGTGCCTTGCAACGGCCCGCTAGCCACAAGTATAATGTTACGATGTTCCTCATAACCTCATATATACAAATATAGGAGCCAGTCCAAAATCATAATTATTGTGTCTGCTCATGATATGCCATCATGTTTATAGGTTTCCGTAGCCTCCTGTAGTTTCGACCCACAAATTCATTCATTTCATAGGATTACAATTGGATTCAATTTTGTCTTCAGCCTACAATCACACTTGGGCGCTAAACGAGATGGAATGGAGGACTTAAAAAATCAAATTTATTGATGGAACCTATGAATACACGGCAGTAGTTAGGAACAGTGGAGGTAATGCTAATGTAGATGTAGACACCATCGAGACATGGAGATCCTAGACGAAGCAAAGCATGATGAGCAGATGCGAGACGCGGTGCAACTGAACAACATACCCTCTATCCATCTAGCGGCAGCTCTTGCATAAAGATGACTGTATTGACAGGTGGTTAGAGCATGCCAAGCGCACGAGGATTTGGAATACACACGTACCTTTGGGGTATATAATGGAATGAGCGGCTGCAAGAACTGTGGGTCGAGGTGTCAGGCGTTGGGTACCCTCGCTGAGATTGAGCTAGGTCGTGTTAGTTCTAAATATGTTGGAAGAGGGCATAAAAATGAACTGACCTGCTCGTGATGTCCTCCGACGTACTACGCAAGGTTGCCGATAATCTGAAGCAGTGGAATGTTAGACGTGAGCGTTCAATGGAGTTGAGTACTGACCATGGTAGACTTCGGTCACATATAGGAGTTGGACGTTGAACGGTTACCAACGAAGGAGGGAAAGAACAAGAGCTGTTTGTTTGATTTGTCGCGCCGTCTTTTATCTAAAGTTGGGTCATGTGATCGCGCCCATCAATCAACATCGGTAAGGAGCTTTGCCGACCTCCGGTTGCCTTCGGATTAACTTCGCATTGGCCGTTTGGACTTAGAGATTTCAGGGTGCGTGAGGGCAAGGAGGGAGGGAGGAAGCTTGGTCTATTGCAGCCAAAAGAAGAAAAAGGATAAAAGTGCCAGGCCTTAGCACTTTCCTCTCCCTCTATCAAGGGGATTGCTATGGAAGATCGGGCAGTACACTAGTTGCCGCTGATGGTAGAGAACTCAAGAGAGGCCGGCAGCAGGATGTTCCAGTATTTTACGCGACGGTTTCTCTACATTGGATTTATTACTGTAAGATCCCACAAGCCTCTTACGAAGCTGGGATAAATGTTATAGGGTATTGCGACATGAATACAATAAGACGTAGCTGTTGTGATTTAATTGTAAGGCTGTCAGGATATTGAACGACAAGTATGAACTTGGAATAAGATTTGTCACTTCCTTGCAATGTCCATGAAATAGTTATACATATGCCGCAAACACGATCCAATATGGACGCAGCATTGCAATGCCATACAATTATCGTATCGAGATTATATCAAGTTGTGATGAGGTTCAAGAATCGCGTCCGCGTCGTGATCCCCATCACCGTATATCGGATTTTCACCAGTCGACTGATGAACATCGGGATGGATTGAGAACCCATTTTCACCTCGTTCGAAGCGTGCGAGCTGCACCGTCTTTTCCTTCGAAGAGGTCCCCAAAGGCCACGTTCTAGTTCGCCAGAGCAGATAGCAAGTAGAGAACAGAAACCAGGCAGGGAAGAACAATGTCGATGAAGAACGAGAAGAGTGAACCTCTTCCAAACGTGCTCCGAGGCCGTGTGAAAAACTGCTTGGCCCTATTTGGGCAAGACAGCCCCTGATGGGTTTCTGATCATGGGAATCCCCGTTCTTCTCGATAACTGTCACCTCTTTCGAGGCTTTCGAGTCTGGAGCGTTGTGTGTTCCTGGATTTTTTCATTAAACAAACGACGATCCTTCTTGTAGCAGGCTGACAGGGCATTCGGCATTGGAATGCCGATTGCGAGCAAGCTATCTGTCCTCTCCGATGGGTATGGGTGCACGCCCATCGGAGAAGACGGTGAACGAAAGTGAGATCTAGCTTTAACCCTCTGTACCTGTTCCAAGGAGCACCTCTGCAAGAGTGTACCTGGTATTCCCACCATTGGTGCTAGCCTGACGTGAAAGTCTTGGCTCGACATCGAGAAGCGTTGATGTGATCATGGTGAACACTTCGTGATAACCAGTAGGTTTCTGCATCGGAGGGCGAGCGTATCAGAATAGCTTCGCTGCTAGTACGCAAGCATTTAGCAGTTCATACATGGAAATTTGGTCACCCACCTCGGTAATTTTGAGCCCATGTTCTTTCCCGCACGATTTGGTTAGCGCAGACTTCTATCGCACCCAGGGATGTTAAGAGTGGTCAGATGACCCGTCCAAGAGGGTACTTCGCGCTGGACGGCGGCCGCCATATCGCTACGTAGTTGGCACCAGACGATCCTTCCGGGTACTGTTCATTTAGCACCCGTCGCTCCAGTGTGAAGTGCTGGAGCAAAGATAAGCGCCCATCTTGTTCCTGTGTCTTTCGACGTCTGATAGTGCCTTCATGGTCGAATGACCCTCACCTCAATTGTCTTCTTTGACGTTCTCAATCAAAAGCCAGGGCACGGACCCACTGGTCTACTATTCAAGAACTCTTGCGTCGCTTCAACAGACCTTGCTTGTTACCTTTTATAATTGGCGCGAACAAATCGTCACTTGAGGAAGAAGGAGATAGTCGATCCCAGTCATCGGCTCTCTTTTGTCGAGTCTTCTTTCGGATTTCCAACACAATTGTAAAGCCCAATCACCACAAGGAAGACCCTTGCCGTTGATCTTAACAAAGGGGAATGCAGACGAATGGGGCGGTCTTGATATTCCTCTGAAATGGCTGAACTTATTGTAAACCTTTCCAGTTACAAATAAAGCCGACTTACGTCCTCGCACTACTTAAAAATCCAGCCGTTGACCGTGGCAACCTTTCATCCAGGTGAGGTTTTCTTTTCCTGGCTGTGCAAAGGGAAAAAAAACCCCTTGTAATACTCGTTGCAAAGGGGACCACTGCGGGTCGAACGCGGGGCGTTTAGAACTTGAGTTTACTACCGCTCCAACTGAGCTATGCTCCCATTGCTCAGGCGTATTGACACGCTTCCCGCTAAGCGTTGAGTTTTGGTTTGGATGGCTTTGACGACCCAAAGCATTGATATGGAGTTGAAGTTGGGCTGAAGACGGCGCCCTGGCACTCACAGTTTCGCTCTCAATATCCAGCGGACATTGTAGCTAGTATTGACCCTTCGTCGCAAATTCACAGCACATAGCAAGCCGGATTAAGTAATCTATCCTGTGCATCACTGCCCTCGAGTCGAAAACTTTAACACAGCGTATCAGGCTCCTGTAAAACGTTTAAATAGCCTACTATCATCTAAGAAAAAAAAAAGCCCCGTCGGAAACAGAGACAATCTGGTCGAAGTCATCAGATGGTTCCCGATATCGGGGATTGCCATAGTGCTCACGAGAGACGGTGAATTGTTGACGTTGACCACCAAAAGATTGTACTGAATCGTTGTGGGGGCGTCGCCATTGGCATATGTTCCTCCATTGATTGTTAGTCCGTCTGACCCTTGGATAACATTCCTGTGGTCTGAAACGAGCGAGAGCACCATGAGCCCTGGGTATATCTTTTGTGCGTGGAACAGAACTCATGGACAGTACCACGCTTTCCCTGTCTCCTTCGTACCATTGAGTCGCGAAAAGGGTGTGGACAGAGCTCGAGCTCTAGATTGGGCGGCTTGTGTAGAGGTAGATTCGAGAGGTCGGCGGGGGGTTGACTGGCTGACTTGTGCAGGGGTGCTCGAGAGACAAGTGGGAGTAATGGTTCAAGGCTCTTCCAACATCATTATCATAGTACAGCTCGTTTCCCTCGGTGATGGATCGGCCCTTTACAGCAACACAGCAAGTGACGCGAGAAAAAGCGCTCAGAGAAAGCGCTCAGAGGGCGAGCACCGAGCATGTCGCCGTTAGAATGACCTAATGTGGCCGAACAGCATAGCGCAGCTGATCGTGTACTACCAGGTGTCTTGAAATAGCGGGGTAATTCGTATACTGTCGGGCAAGGTTTAACGCTCCAATCGATTAGCGTGGTGCCATGAACAAAGATGATGATGTAGCCGGCGGAGTAGCGTTGGTTATCATGTCCTTGACCGTGGTGAGGGTTACCCATGGCGTACATTGAGAATGGGCTGTGCAAGTTAAAGAATGATCATAGAACGCCGACCAAGACAACAGCGAAAATGAGCCTGGCCCCCTCCATCCTTCAATCAAACTCGAACCCGACCCTGATGAAATCGTTGTCGTCAACCCCCCCATATCCCCATCCCAATGCAAACCACCTGAGGCTCTCGAAGGGGAAGAGAGCCCATGGAACCTAGTCCTCCATTCAATACCCTGGCTATCCGAAAACATCTAACAAGCGGGTGCGTGTGTGAGGGTCGTCAAGAGATCCTGTGAGGAACAACGGTCGAGGAAACAAGACTCAATCTGCAGGGGCCGGATGCGTTGGCAGATGGCGCAGGTGTCGTAGGGGGAAGTATGGGTGCCTTTGAGAGTTGCACAGAAAGTAGAAGGGATGCGAGGATGCGAGTGAGATGAGGAAGGGAGAGGAGAAGGGTAGAGGAATGCAAAGAACTGATGGTGGGTGAGATGCAGCTCCCTTCAGAGGTCGGTCCTCCTGGTCGAGCTGGGCAAGCCAAAAGATACGATCCCCGCAAAATGCCTTGCGCATACACAGAACCACATCGGTGGATGGAGAACCCTTTTTCATCTCGTTTGGAGCTTGCGAGCTGCTTCGTCGTTTCCTTCCAAGAGATCCCCAAAGGCCAAGTTATAGTTCACCAGAGCAGATGGCAAGCAGAATGCAGAGATCAGAAACCCAGTAGGGAGGAACAAGGTCGATGAAAGAAGACAACAGTGAACGCCATGCAACTGGAAGCTTCAGACGCGCCAACACCGTGTGAAATCCTATTTGGGCAAGAAAGCCCCTGAGGGTTTTGATCATGGAAGCCGTCCTTCTCGATAACTGTCACCTCCTTCGAGCCTCTCGAGTGTGGAACCGCGTGTTTTTGGGCTCTTCAATGAAGAGGTACGACACTTGTATTAGCGGGCCAACAGGCATCCGGCATTGAAATGCTGATTGCGAGCAAGTTATCCATCCTTTCTGAAAGCTGGTTTGCGTGCACACATGCCCATAGGACTCGGAGAATACGGTGAACAAAAGTTGGCGACATTCACGAGGTAACATCCGTCTATACCATTCCAGGGAGCACCTCTGCAAGCATGTACCTGGCCTTTCAAACGTCAATTCCAGTCCACCACCCCTTTTGACAGGCGTAGAAGCCTTGGCTCGACATCAAACAAACGAGAAGCGTTGATGATAATAACTTCGTCCTCTAGGAGGCTTCCGCATCAGAGGCTTCCGCATCAGAAGAACTTCGCTGCCAGTACACAAACATTTAGAAGTCCATAGACGGAAACGTGGTCACCCCACTTCGATGGGTTTGCACATATTTTCCCCTGTGCCATTTGGCTATCTCGGTCTTCTATCGCACACAGGATGTTAAGAGACATAATTCAGGGTCTGATGACCCGGACAAGTTAGAAAACCCAATAACCATAAAGGTCATCCGTGTAGCAAAAATTCACTGATTTCTACAGAACATTGGGACGACTACGGTGTTCCTAAAGGACCAGGTTGGTTTTCGGTTTTCGTTTTCTCGCGCGCGACAGCTTTGATCAATGATGTCCGTTGGCTCGGTCATAGGGGCTGTTGCTTTCGGCCTAGGAAGACATGGGTATCAATCCATGAGGCCTGAAAGCCAGAAGAAATGCTCTAGGAGGGGTAAAAGCTTGATACAGCGGCCTAGAGGTGCCTAATTCAACTCGGCCAGTCTCGCCCCTTGTTCGCGCTACTCTTTCACTCCGATTCTCGGACACCAGCTATATCACTCGAAAAGCGTCAATTTAGCTTCGAGTGCTGAGCTCGTAAGAAATTCCGAGACCAGATTAAATTACTAGAGGCTAATTTGTTTGCATATACATCATAAAATCGAGTCTACCTGTTGATCTTATCTCAAGTAGATTAGATTCGACTCGTACTCTCCGCCTCGGATTCACTCCGACTCGGACTCTCCTAGATACATTCTAATGAGGCTATGCGATATCTACAGGATTCGTCATTCATTCGTCTTCACGACTCATACTGACTCATATGTATTCTTATCACTCATGTGACTACTTACTCAGTCCTTACACAGCTCTATTATTAGTATGATCTTTATGTATATAAGGACTCTCGTAGCTACCTCAATCTCTATCGTTTTAACCTACGAACTAAGTCACTGCCTATAGCCTACAAGCTACTCGGTAAGACTCTACTCGCTAGTCGCAGTAGTGTTCTTCAGGTTATGAGCCCTGAAGCTCAGTAGAAGCACTGTAATGGCTGCATCTACAAACTTGGTTGGCGCTGTAATGGCTGCCTCCATAGACTGCTACAAGTCTGCGCTTAAGTGCTGCAACTATGCATGTCTAACCAAGTGGCTGATAGGTCGAACCTATGCCTAAATTCTGCGCTGTCATGGCAGCAGAAATCTGCGCTGTAATGGCTGCAGAATGGGGCAAAGAACGCGCTGTTATGGCCGCTTCTTTGATTTGTGATATACGTTGCTGACGAACCTTGTCTTGACAGATCTCAACAATCAACAATGTCTTCCAACGCTCTCAACAACGTCCCCATCCTCGATGGTACCAACTACCTGGATTGGCCCATGCGTGCGGAGCAATACCTCCAAATGCAACGTCTTTCGGCCTACATCACTGGCACTCGTCCCGCTGCACTTGCTTCTGATGCTGAGGCTGACGATATAGAAGTCTGGGAGGAGAAAGTCAAGAAGTGGGACGAAGACGACGACCAGGCTATGGGAGCTCTCCTCCTCCGCTGCAACAAGAATATCTGCGCCCAAGTTCAGGGCAAAGGTACCTTGAAGGAGTTATGGGACACTCTCAAATTGCTCTATGGTACTCCGAGTCTCGCTACGATCTTTGCTAGTTTCAAACTGGCGATCCAGTTCCGCATCGGAAATGGAGATCCTCGTCCTTCGATCGCCGAGCTCCAGAACCATCTTGGTCAACTTGCTCAGAACGATGTCTCTATCGACGCGTTCATCGAGGCCATGATCTTGATCAGCAGCCTCCCTTCTAAGTACGACAACACCGTCGCCAACCTTCTTAATCTCAAGAAGGATAAGCTCACCTTCGACGTCGTCGTCAAGGCCATCACGGCCGAGTACGATCGTGTTGCCAACCCGGCTACCCTCAACAAGTTCACTGGCATCAAGAGGAATGGGGGGAACCCTAACTTCCGCCAGCAGCAACAAGGGCAGCAGAAGGATTCCGGCAACTCGGGTAACCAGAACTCGGGTTCTTCCCAGTCCAAGGGGAAGAAGCGCGGATCCAAGGGTGGCAACAAGAAGAAGGAGAAGGAAAGGAAGTCGCAAGGTCAACGCTCCCACATGGTCAATGCTGCCTTCTTAGGCGACCATCTCGTCTCTCTCGCTCCTCAGGAGCATGTGCCTCCCCAGGCCAAGGTCTCGGTTCTTTCCTTCGTGAAAACCGGACCCTCTATCGTCCAACGTCCCGTCGATCTCACTCCATCCACCCATCTCCCCGCTTCGGCTGCCAAAGCCAAAGTCGCTCCGTCCACCAACACCTCGTGCTACCCAGATGTGGAACGCGCCAGGACGAACTGCGGTAAGCTCGATTTACCCAAAACCGCCCGTCACCTCAAAGCATTCGAGGAGGCGGATAAGCGGAAACGAGCTCTTATTGACCGAATCAGTTCCCCCAGGCCCTCCAAACGTCAACGGTCCCTCGAGCCTTCCGGCCAGCCTGAGGTGCATGAGGCCAGCTCGCCTCTGCACCGACTCCCATCTCCCCCACTGGCACAAGGTGGATCTGGAGAAGGGGTCGACGTTCCCCAACCAACCATGGTGCATCAATCTGGATTGCCCATGGAAGGGGACGGCTCACAAGCATTGGACGGACTCTCTGACACCGATGCCTTGGGGGAAGATGA